CCGTTCGGGCAACTCTAATGATCTGTTTAAGGGGCATCGGAACGGCCTCGGAAGATCCCGGGCATTAGAACTTTTCGGGAGTTGCTGCAATTGCCGCGTACGAGTCGTTATGTTGAGTGCATTAGTGTTGAACAAACAATTATTGTCCATAATTCCGCAATCCAGATGTCATTATCGTCTCAAGTTTCCTAGCAAGTGCTCCAGTTAAACAATAATTCGATGTTCAAACTCCTCAAGAGTTCCTGAACTTCCCAAATACCTTCAGATGAAGTGCGTTGATCAATACCATTAATTTAATAAACTTATACATACCGTTTAATTCAGCATCACATTATGAATAACAAAAATGAACCGAATATACTAATAATACCAGAAAATATTGGAGTGCACATTGAAAACTTTGATCCAATATATAAGAGAAATTTAGTCTTAGATCGCACGCAGCTTCGTGATCAATAAAAAGTTCTATACCAGCGTCCGGATATATACATGTATTACAACAATAAATTACAGAAATAATTTTCTGTACACCATCTGACGATAAAATTTTGCTTCATGGGCATCGATGCCAGCGGATATTTACATTAAACTTAATTTTATAAATATTAAAAACTATTTTCCCTTAGCAGCTATTGTATTGACAACCACAAATATTTTCAATCAACAGTAACTCTATTGGCATGAACGGAAATTTGCAATCAAGAGAATTATTTAGACAGCAGCAGAAATTTTGTAGACATCAACACATGTTCACAATCACGAGTAATATTGACATCAAAAGTTGTTCGCAATCAACAACGACTGTATTGATATCGACTGATATTCACAATAAAGATAAAGAAAAAGAACATCAAAACATCTCATTGATCATCCTCAAAGGTATTGACTATAACTGATTTTTACAACTAACCTAAATTTTATCGCCATCAGCGGATGTTTACAATCAGTAACAACTGTATCGATATCAAATGTTGTTTGCAGTCAATAGCAACTTTTTTTATATCAATAGATATTCACCATCAAGATAAAATCAAACCACATCATCGAATATATCAACAGATATTCACCATCAATATGAAGTTAAACCATATATCAGATCTTTTCAATCAGCAGCAAATATATCGAATTCAGTAGAGATCTGAAATCAGCAGAATTGTATTGACAGCAATGGATACTTACAATCAAGGGCAATTTTACCGAAATCAGCAGATATTTGCACTCAGCGTCAATTGTATGGACATCAATAGACAGTATTTCTGGCCGTCAAAAGACTGGCCTGAGCGGCCGTTGGCCTCAAGAGGCCGTCAGCAACACAGGCCACTCGAGCGCCAGCCAATTATTGCTCGGCAAATTGCAACGATTTTATGGCACCAAGCAATGATTGGCCAAACAAAAATCGAAGGCAGCGTTCGAGGGCAATCAAATCTCGAGGGCACATTGAGTTGGTGGTTCCCTAGTACATGGCGCAGAAGAAATAATATTATTATTTCAAGTACATCATGTACCCTCGCATCATTTTGCTTCAGTAAACAGTTCAAGAAAATGAGGAACCAAAATTGGGGTAAAGCTTATGCTTCATCAAGGACTCAAAATGTGAATATTTGTTTCCCGAAATCAGTCCATTTCCTACACAGCATTCAATTTACTTACTTTTATTTCCATTTTTTACAAAACGGAAACCTTTCATTCACAATGAAAGCTAGAGATCTCCCCTTCATTAACACCCAATATGTTCATTCCTCGAAGCATTAACCACAAAGATAATTCTATTTTCCCTTGAATGCACACGTTACAGGATGTTTCTCTGAAAGTTTTAAGTTGTCGTTAATTCATTCTACTAGAACTCTAGAAGTAAATTATGTATTTCTTTCATAACTTCCCACCTCGTAACTACATACCCTAAATAAAAATACGATTGTATCTTTTGGTAGAGCTGCTCTTTAACAACATTTCTTCAGCACTCTTTGGTGTACATCGGTTTTGTATGGAATTGATATAGAACAAATTCGCGGGAAAATGTTGAAGCGGGGGCGTGGAAAACCTCAATAAGATCGCTGAGTCAGCGCATGTCGGGACAGCTGTGCTAATGAAGTGCTGTAGCTCGGGTGGGAGGCACGGAGCTGTGATGGATGGCGCTATGGTCCAAAACAGCGGCTTCTTAATTTACTGCTTCACAAATGCACTGCAAATGAGCGGGCACTGGAATAACTCAGCATCAACAATTTCTTGCAAATGACTTGAGTTTTTCGGTGCTGCAAACGGTAAGTTTTCGGCACTCGCAAAAAGAAATTCTTTGCTTCAGGTATATTTAGGATAATAGCTAACCTTTCCGCACTGCCAGCTGTGAAAATGTGTTAAAATAATGTGACTTGTTTATATTTTGGCTGTTTGAATATTTATTTGCAGGTATTCATGCAAAATTTTAAATCAACTACCACTTTCACAAATAAACTCACAAACTTCCAATTATATGTAAGCCGGATTTAAATTTAAAAAAAATACTCATTTTTACTAATTGAGAGCACTTCTCTTACTCCGCTGTAGGGATAGAAAGCGGATAGATACTATAACTTAACATTAATAGGCAAGAATATTCGTGTTGTGTAATATGTTGATTAGAAATTTTATAATAAAGTTTTCATTTCACTGGAGGGAAATGCGGACGGGAAAAGTTGTAGCTTGCTGTAATGTGGAACATTTTTAAAAGAAAAGATTGTTGTGCTGTTGGAAGCCGATAAGTTGGTTTGTTCTGTGTTAGAATGCGAGGTGTATTTGACGGATTCGTGAAAAAATATGTACATACTAAGGCTTATGCATGCGATAGATAAATTTGTAAGTTATAATTTACTATGAACTTTAGCCTTATCGTTTACCATGTTACTATCAATTTTTTGGTCGTTTTTGGGAAATGCCAAAACTCGAGTTCAAGCCGCAGTTGCAATCAAAATAAAAGATAAAACATGTCAATGTCCAAGACTATTTATATTGTTGGTTTTCTGAACGTGTTCCTTAGTTATTTTGTGTTTTGTAAGCTGTGAAGCAATAAACAGTTGGTAGGAGAGATTCTTTAGTAACCCACAACAAAACAAGATTGTTCAGAACGATTATGGCTCTGTTAAAGTATTCGAATGGACTCCAAACCAACATTCAGTGCTAATGAATACAGTTTTTAGAAATAAATATAGTATGACAAAGAGCTTATCATGAGGGTTAACTAATGAACAGTTTAAGTTCTATTCTCGTGTTAGCTTCCTCACAACTAAGACTGTTGCAGGCGCTCTGTATACCCACAGACACTGAGTGCATTTCCACGACCATCTTCAAGGCCAATGTTTACCTCGACTCAGTCTAGCAGGAGCATCGTGGCCGCAATGTTTGCCAGGGATGATATTGCCAAGACTTATTTCTTGGTTGGTGTCGAGTGCGAGGGCTTGGAGGAAATACCTTCAGGCTTCTGGCTAGATGAACGGTGCAAAAATTCCACTGAACTAACAACTATAAATTGCGTAAGGAAGATGTTGCAAAAATACGAACGAGAACAGTGGTTTTTCTGAGTAACGTTTGATATATGGAAGGAAGTTTCAGATTTTTAATTGAATGTCCAATAGCCTGTGCTAAAAATTATTAGTACGAAGCAAAGTTTGCAATGCACGGAAAAAACTTAGAGCTCACGCATGACATGTACTCAAAGACTTTGAAGTATAAAGTTGCAAAACAGATAACAGATATTCATGAGTCAATATCTTGTGTTATTGTTTACGTTGATTACGATGCTTATTAATCAGACAATACCGCCTCTTCCCATATTACGTAAAATATCGCTATTACTTCTTACTACGTTATTACTCTGGCAGCGCTACGAAATACCGTAAGCTCAGCTCTTTTTAAAAAGATATTGCAGACACTCCATAAACTCAACTGCGTTATGCTGATGGTTTGGCCACATCAGAAACTCTGTGGTATTTTAATGATATTTCTGGTAGCCTATAGACTTGATACTATGGTACAGCCAGGCCACGACCTTATCTTGTACTCGCTCTGAATGATCAAATCAAAATAAATTACACATTTTATTTATATATACATGACACTTCTTAATCCTTAGACGAAAATCCTGGCAAGGATGAAGCTGGGGCTTATGTCAACATTGCATTGCTCATATACTAGCTGGTATTACAGATATTGTGCACTGAACGGAAATTGTAAGCACACACGCAGATCTGATATTGTTGACGGTTGCAGTGCAGCTGCCGAGGATCGAGTGTCACTGCCATGCATGTATGTTGTCATTCGTATTTCAAATCCGCTGCAAATTCCATTTGTGAATTGACGTAACTCATCTTATATTGGTCGCCAGATAACCTGTGTAAACTCAGCTTCTATTTGAAATTCTGTAGAATTTATTTCAATATACCTCAGTTCTGCGATACGGTGACGGAAAACTTTATGGCGAGGTAGCTACAACATAGGAGTTGTGAAATTTAAAATCACTGCACCTCGTTTTTAAAATTAGGTTAAACTCTATGGAAAAATGTGTGTGGCACAACTTACTAACAAGGTCCGAATGCTATCCAATTTGTTAATTATTTTAAAGCGGAATCAATTAGTTAATGGGAACAAAAAATTATTCGGAAGCACGTTTCGCTCTCCTCGAAAAATGGAGTGAGAAGTGGCACGAAAGTTGCATCAGTTAGCGCCTAATGACTCAAGTTCTGAAGGATGATTTTTTATTACATTTTTCAGCAGCAGTATTCGCCGTGGCAGAGCCTATAAGAGGGAGCTTTTTATTTCTTTTAAAAATTAATTATCGTATGGCTTCATTTGAATAGCCGAATTCTCCTGGCTGTGATTTTGTGCCTTCAAATTCAAAAGTTGTAGTATTTACAATACCAACCTCAAATTTATTACATAATTCATCTGAGTTTACCTGATACAAAGTAGTGATAGCTAATTTCTAAATAAATTCGATCAAGGTTGCATTTTTTCACGTCATGATGAAGTATCCAGAATACAGCTTGCAATAAGAATCCAGCGTCACACTTGATTTCAGAAATCGTCTCAAAATCTGAAATTTGAAACTCAAGCAGAAAATTGTCCGCATCAGCTTCATCGACTGTTAAGAAAAACTTGAAGTTCAAGAAAGAAGAAAACCAGCAGCAACTACGATGGCATCACGGCGTCGACAAGGCTCCACAGCAGCTAAAGAAGAAACAAGAGGAATGCAGTCTTCGTACTCTTCATCTTCATGCAGCAAACTGCGCGATTCGGAATATCGAGATGCTGCAGAATCCGAAAGGCGCTTTCGAGATGTCACCAAGATGAGGCGAGAAAGTTTTCCTAGAAAACAAAACGCGTCGAGTTCTCACAGCAGCGATTCATGGAAACCAAGATTTTCAGCAGCGACTTTATCGAATGACTGGCGATCGCGTGAGGAACCAATGTCGATGTATCGATCTCGCTTCAGTAACTTCCCAAGTTGCAATTTTACTATCCAACGAAGGAACTGTTATGATGGTGCTGCTCAAAACCCAATCAGTGGTCGGAAATTAGATGATGTGGAAGATCTTCGCAGCACATTGAATACCTTGGCTTCCCGTAAGAGTTCGAATCCGACGCCAAGCTTTATCGTGCGTCGAAGAAGCACCATCTACCCGCTTAAAACATTCAACAATTGGGCTAAAGCTCGAATCATCCAACATGCCATCCCCGACGACGCTGAGCAGACGGTGGTTGTAATGGACCTCGGTTGTGGACGAGGAATCGATCTCAAGAAGTGGGCCCACGCGCGAGTCCACCGCGTGTATCTGGTTGAGGAGGACGAATTAGATATGAAGGAATGCCTGCACAGGTTCACGGAACTCAACTCCAGGTGGCCTGGTCGTCTGAAAGCTTGCTTTGTCAACAAGGATTTTGCCTTTGACTCTATTGTGCTTCCTGAACTGGTCGACGTCATTTCGTGTCAGTTCTTTGTTCAGAGAGCGTTCAACTCTCTGGAAGAAGCTGAAACTATGGCCAAAAATGTCGCTAGATCTCTCAAAGATGATGGCAAATTCATCGCTTCGTTGGTCAACGCAGAAAAAATCAAGCGCTGGCTTGACAAATTCAGAGGTGAAACACGATGCACTAATGGCGTCTTCACAGTTGAGCTCGCAACACCCATTTCAGAGAGCAGCGTTGCTGAATTTGGAACGAAGATGCTTTTCATGATCGACGATAAAGTCTTCCCCGAAAATCTTGTGCAACTCGAGACGCTCACTAACGTGATGAAGAAATTTGGACTTGAACTTGTCTGGCGCCGATCATTTCTCGAGCTCTACGAAGAGGCTTCTCGCGACGAAGAGCATAAGCCACTCCTTATAAACATGGGAGTTGAGGCGCAAGGGAAACTGAAAATGTCCCAAGAACAAATGGAAACCGCAGATCTTTTCGAGGCTCTCATGTTTCGTAAAATTCTCCCGATCCCAGAAGAAGTCAATGCCACGGCGGCCACAAGCGCTTGCGTGTAGCCTGATGGATACCATGGAGCCTAAATGTGGATCAGCGTTCGTCACTTCTGCATTCTTGTGAAGGAAACTTTATTTTTATCTAAAAGGATACGTATTATATTGCTCGTTAAGTTGTAAATTATAGCAGTCAAATGTCATCGCAATAATTTACAGTCTACAAAGCCATTGAAAATTATAGCTATGTAAAGATGATGGACTTTCAACTTGATTTTCTATGTGATTTTGTTCAAGAGGCGTTTGTCGAGTACAAGTTCAGTTACAGTTCTTTGTGTTGAATATTTATTTTTCCTTACAAGAGGCGAGATTTAAGAAAGCTTCATTTCATTTTTCCTATTGTGCATCGAATGACCAAATAAATGGGAAGTTTAACTAATCAATGAGAAAATTATCATAACTATTGGAGAAGAATTTAATATATAAAAGTTACGTACAAAGTGGAACTGGGAGATAATGTAATTTTCATCAATTTTGAACATAAAATTCCGAGCATTCGTTTTCTCATCTAACTAACGTGATTTATTTCGAAACCAAAAATGTCAAGGCAAGATCTTTAGATCTGCCCAGCAAGCAGTACTACAATATTACTGTTAGGTGAAATTTTCAGACTGAACTTTCAATGCTCAAAAATATTAGGTCTAAAAGATCATTTCAATACAATGGCGTCTATGTCATTTGTCATCTTTTCAATTTTTTGGAGTTTTGTTATTGTGATTATTATCATGGTTATGTTAAATGTATAACTCATGCTATAATAAATTCCCTTTAAGAGCATATCTTGAAGTCTCCGACTCTGTGGCGCAGCGAAGACTTAAGTTTCAAAGTTGGGCCTCCCCTCAATGGTCGCCACAGTAAAGTTGACGACAAAACTTTTATTCACTTTCAAAGTTGTGATGGCGCTCAAATTAATTACATGAGACCAGGTTCCTCGTCTAGGAGCTACGTAATCAATTTCTGAGTAGCCGGAGAAAAACGACTACTTTATTCTACTTGAAGTGCAGCGTTTACTTTCCGTGGAGTTAAGGATAGTAAATGGGAAATTAAAACTATGGTACTGCCAGCCACAGTTCTGCAAATAATATATAAAGTTAATTAGGTAATCTCGAATAGCGAGATTCGCAACATTGAAGTCATGTTTCAAATGACCGACTAAAGTTCGCTAATTATTTATGAAAATTCGTTAATATTTAACTCAGACAATTCCTTATCAATAATATCCTTTCTTTGCGCACAATCGTTAAGTAAAATGTCGCCAGAATATTTTTCTTTCGCCATCTAATATTACGGAGTAATATTAGATGGCGAATAATATTACTTATTCATCTTATATTATATAATTACTTATAATCTTATCTAATCTTATATTATAATATTACTTATTCATAAGTATTTCACCCTCACTGCATGAAATTTCGAACTCCTGTAAATCATTTCCAAACATTTTTGCTACATTTTTTTAAATGAAATCTTGTCACATCGCGCTACTACACCATGAACTTCCCATGAAAGATAACAACTTTTCGTAAGATATTGCGTCTTTTGTTTGAGGTGCTCCAAGTTCATAGTTTGTGAGCTGCGCAAAACCTTGCAGCCGCATAGATTATTACCGACTTGTGTCTGAAGAGAAATTCCTAACTTTGCGCCTAATACTTTTTACTCCACTACTGAATTTTATGAACTTCAACTCCTTTAAATTCCAGCATTTTCGCGTGAAATTGCAAACGCGTAAGAAACACGGAAAGCTAAATATGTCCCAACGATTCTAAGAATTAATAAAATCTGTCGTAGTGAGTGAGTGTTAATGCTGATTAAAAACATAAAAACTCACTATCTGATTGTAACCTGAGAATAAAGAAGGTGAATACAGTAAAACGAATTTTGAGTTTTTTCCGCTGTTTCCTCTTTCAACAAATAAAATTGGCGATTTAACAAGGTTATTAAAAACCTCTAACAATCGCAACAAAAACCTATAATTTTCAAGTGATAGCAATCACAAAATTACGACTGGCTTCTCAGCCGGTCTCTAACTGCAGAATGTAAGTTGGCTGCAGTAATGGCCTCGTTGACTTTTAGGCAGCTTGAACGGCAAGCCAAGAAAAACGAGCTGCTACAATTGGCAAAGTTGTCAGTCAATACCGGCTTTGTGAAATTATTGCTCCAACTGTTTTTCTGAAGAGTCGAAAGTTCCTTCGACCGTCGTTCCAATGTTGATCATGTCTGAACGTGATGATTACTTGCTGTCCGATAAATGAGCCATCATGAGACTCGGCCCTAACCAAGCGCTACGGAACCTTCTCTACATCATTTTATTTAATTCGAAACAGGACAATGAAGGCGGATAGTTACTTAGTTTCCGTATCGATTCGATTGTATATTTGAATATCACTCTCACCCGCGAAATGTTTGATTGCGTTTCGTATTGTACATCGTAATATACGTTGAATATTTTGGTATAAAATTACTGAATGCAGGTACCCGAATTTCTTCTCCGCAATGTAAACTTTTATAATGGTTATTCTTGATAGTAGTTACAAAGTCTACTACGTACTGAAATTAAAAATGGCACATTGGAAAAGTAAAAATCCTACAAGGTCAAGAATCAAAATCGAATCTTCCCCCAGAAAATTGCAGACCAACACGACAATAACGTAGAACAAAATAGCTCGATTCGTGCAAAATTTTTTCATCCCCAGAAGTGCAAGGCTCTCACCACCGTCAGCAACAATTGTCCCGAACTGAGCCAATACCACCCATGGTTGAATGAATATGTATTAATTCAACCATGAATACCACCGCTGTTCATTGACCGTCAACGACCGTCAACACGAAGCAGAATTTAGAAATTATCGTATTGCACGTGATAAGTGCTACGTTATAATATGCTTGAAATTTTAGCCTTAAAATGTATGGTTGATAAAACATACACGTATGGTTGATAAAAATCCAGGCAATTTCAGTAAGTGAAACTTCAAAAAAAATTGCAGCTACACATTTATTTTCAATAACCTTATACTTTTGGAAAATGCACAATTATACACATATAACTTTTTCCTCGTGAATTTTTGCAGAGTATGCATGACTGACATTTATACTTCATCTTAGTTTAAATTAAGATTCAAAAATATCCAAACCGGGCCTGAATTTCCAAAACGTATTTGTCATTCGGGAAACGAGCTGATTTGAAGCGATTCATGCCGGTGACAATTAGCAATCATGTGCAAATTAGTATCAATCAAATGCATCCATCGGTTTACGTTCCTGAAATTAGGGAGTTTTTACAGTCCAGAATTGTCTTGCTAAAGGGATTTCCTTGGTAATTTTAGGTTTTAAAAGAGCCTCGTTACATCGCGCTCCTGCAGATCTAATTTGCATTCAAAAAATTAAATCCTCGAGCTGAGGACATTAATTTGACATTGCAGTTCCGCTAGCAACAGGACCTAATAGAACGCAGGACTAGAATGAACCACGGCTAAAATCTCTTGGGAGATTTAGGGTAATTCCAGTGGATGTCTTAAGTCTCATGGAAAATCATCTGTTCACGGAAAATGGCATGAAATCGCTCAATATGCTATTAAAATACAGCAAATTAGGGTTCTTTAATTAGTTCGCAAGGGCGTAAAGATCGGAGATTAGAATTTGATATTGTATCAGTTGGCAATTTTCAAATTTTTCAACGCCACAGGTTGAGCCCCAAGGAATAATGACACGACATACTGTATGTTCTTAAGCTGGCCTAGATGCTCATAAAGGAAAGTGGTTCGTTGTGGAATCACCTGCAGAAGCATTAATAGGGTTCGTTGTTTTATCACCCTGTAGAAGCATCCATAGAAAGTGGTTTTCTGTGGAATGCTAATACTGGACCAGGGCTATTAGCCAGCACGATGCTACGTTCCAGCATCACCTCAGTTTGAAGATGACCCAACATCAGCAGCAAATAAACTGACATTTGGAATCACTACTGTCCTAAATTACCAATTGCGTGCAGCAAGTATCACCACGCTCCAGAACAGCTAAAATTTAAAGGACTAATGATAACTGCATGTATGTCAGGCACCTTTGTAGAAATCAGTTTTCAGTCAGCAAGTACGGTGCCCTGTGACAAAATCAGTTCAGTTTAAAAGATATATCATAAAGATCAAATGGGATATTTGCCTGGCTCTGTTACAGTATCCCCTCAGTTTTCAAATGGTCCAGCGTATGAAGCAAGTTTGTCTGGCTCTGTTACAGTATCCCCCAGTTTTCACATGGTCCAGCGTATGAAGCAAGTTTGTCTGGCTCTGTTACACTATCCCCCCCTAAGTTTTCAAATGGTCCAGCGTGCGCAGTTAGCAGGATGCCAGTCTTTGCCTATAGGATCTTATTGCCGCTAATGAACAACTGAGAACTCGCCTGCCGCTTCAGTTTCGTCCGCTTAGGGGTCCCTAATTAGGGCTGATGGCTGACCGACTATACAATTGAAGATAACAGCCTGCAACTTGACCATATTTTTTTAAACATGTCGTTTCAATCATCAGTCAAAATAAACTCATAAATATCTTTATTCGATATTTCATTTTAAAATCAATATAAGTTTCAAATGTTTTAATAAGGAAGTATGGGATTACATAACTAAAAGATATAAGAAAAATAATTGTGAAAATATATGTCGGTGATAATATAACATAATTAGTTTCTCCAACACGTCACGTCGGTGGGAAACTATGGATTTGGTCAGCGTCGACAGTGTGTATAGAATATCAGCGCCATATCTACATGCAGTGAGTTATGATGCTCTTTATATATTTACTCCGTTGCTAAAAGCTTTGCGTATTAAATTTTATAAAATAATAAAACCTCATTCGGCTATTTCGATGATGACGAGGAATTTCAGAATGAAATTAATAATCTTGATACTTACTTTTGAATAATGGCAAACGTCCAATTAAATTTTTAATTAAATTGCTGGCATTTAGACATCCAGATGTCGGCATCAAAAAAATGTTACACTCGCTGAATTGGATATAGATTAGCAGCGCTGACAAGGTTTACAAATTTAAAAAAAAACTGAAGATAGTTTTTAGTTTTTTTTTTCAGATACATTATGAATGTTTTATCAATTCGATAAAACATTCATAATGTATCTGAAAATGACAATTCGACTGAATTGTCATTTATTCATTTTTTCTTGTTTTAATACAATTAAAGAGCAATATTCAACTTCACAACTTCACTGCAAGATAAATGATTGAGTATTTAGGTAATATAAAAAGTTTCAGTAG